CCCGGAGGTGGTCGGGGGCGCGGGGGTGGTCCCCCGGGTCCCCGCAGGTGCGTGGCCGCCTCGCCGGTGCCCGCGGGAGGAGCATGCGGCGGCGCCATGAGCGAGCAGTGGGACGTCGGCCGGGCCCTGGCCCTCTCCGGCCTCTTCCGTCTCCTGCAGGGCGCGGGCAAGGCCTGCGCGGCCCCGTTCCTCACGCTGTACCTCCGGCACCTGGGGCTGCCGGCCCCGCTGGTGGGCGTCGTGGCCGGAGCCAAGCACCTGGCGGCAGCTCTCTGGGCTCCCCTCTGCTCCCGCTGCCCCAAGGGCCGCAGGAAGCGGCGGCTTTTGGTTGCCGGCTCCTTGCTGGGCTCGGCGGGGGCCAGCCTGCTGCTCACCCTCATCCCGCCCGCCGGCGGGGACGCGGGGTACAAGTACTGTAACGCCAGCCAGCAGCCGGATGACCGAGGGGCTGCCACCACGGCAGCCGGTCCGGGCACGAGCAGCTACGTTGTTCTAAGCACGAGTGCTATTACGAATGCAAAAGCTGTGTCAAAAGAAACGACGAAAACAACCGCTGACGTTTTGATGGCGAGCAGAAAGCCAACGCTAACCAGTTCGGCCTTCCAGGGATTATTTGGCCTGACAGATAGGCTTGAGAAAAAAGGCAGAGGGGTTGGTGAAGGTGATGCAAAGACGAATGGCTACTTGGTTGGTCCCTCCATCTGGACAACTTCTGTGAAAGCAGTTAACTGGGAGACACGAGAGCCAGAAATGCTGTCTTCCTACGGACCTCCCTTACATGGACTCGAGAAGGAAATGAGCAGTCTGGGTCCTGCTGCAGTAGATCCTGCTGATAATGCTGAAGAAAGCCCTTACGCTATTGAAAGTAATGAGCTCTCTTTGTTTAAAACAACTCTTCCTACTGTTGGAGATGCTTACGTGTCTGGAAACGTTTCAGACCACCGGAAAGACACTCAAGATTTCAGTTTCAAGGCAGTGCAAAACATCTTTCAGGACAGAGAGCATCAGATTTTTTTTATGGTACTGGGTGCTGTCGTGCTTTGGGAGCTGTTGGCTACTTCTCTGGAATGGACAGTGGATGAGAGTCTCTATGAATTTCTCGACTTCGTTGATGCAACTGATAGGTATGGCAAGCTGTGGATTTGGAATTACCTGGGTGCATCTGTAGGTGCCTGCAGCATTGCCGTATTCGTGGATCAACTGAATTGCTTCCTCAGCAGTACAGTCACCCGCCTTGCTGTCCATTTTTATGGCTATGCTCTCCTGATAACGCTGTCATTGCTTGTCAGTGTCTTCTTTCCCATCCACATTCCCAAGAAAACTGACCGTGTTAACAAAACCACCAAAGCCCTGGCCCTACTGTGGAGCGACGGCCGAGCAATCCTGTACACCATCACTGTCTTCTTCACTGGCATGGCTGGGTCTGCAGTGCACAACTTTCTTTTCTGGCAGATGCAGGACCAAGGCAGCACTGAGCTGTACATGGGGCTCTCTGTGGCTGTCGGGCTACTTGCTGAAATTTTGCTTTATTTCTTCAAAGGGAAGTTGCTGAGGACTTTCTCGAGCAGCAAAATTGTTGCAGTCAGCCTAAGCCTCCTGGCAGTACAGCTTCTGTGCTATTCCTTCTTGTGGACTGCATGGTCAGTTCTCCTTATCCAGATTTTATCTGCCTTCAGTAGTGGTGCTTTGTGGTGGGTGGTGAACATGATGGTGGATGACATAGCCACTCCGGGCATGGAGAGGTCCCTGCATGCTGTTCTCCAGGGCCTCTGCTACGGTGGAGGAGCAAGCTTGGGCAGTTTTGCAGGAGGATTTGTTGTGAAGCACTTTGGCCTGGCAGTTCTGTACAGGGCGTGCTGCGTGTGCCTGGTGCTGTGGCTCTTCTTGTTCTTAATTGTCCAATCTAAATTGCCGCAGCAGAAAAAAATTAATTATTCTCGTCTCCTGGCTGCCGATTCCAGTGATATGAGTGACTCGGACGAGAATGAAAGGGACTGGCTGGTAAAAGCTATGAAGGATGAAAGCTTTAATAGGAATTGGTCACAACAGCATGGGATCAACTAATCTTTACTTGAATGTTGGGGTTGGAGTGGTAATGTGGTATGATGATGATGCCCAGAAATGACCATTAATTCTAAAGTGCTAAATATATACACTATATATCTGACAGGACAGATTTTTATTTTAAAAAATTTAGAAATCTTTTTATTTTCTTAATTTATAGTGTTCTTGTAGTAATTTTTCCTTTTTAACTTAATGATTTTGCTTCCAAAATCATAACAAGGTATTTCAGGTATACATTTGCTGAAATGAATGTAGATAAGGTTTTAGTCAAAAAGCAAACTTGAATTGAGTTCTTGCTCCCCAGAGCTGATGCTGTGGAAACGGTGAGCAAAAGTTGCGACCTGTACTTCGACACAATTGAATGAAAAATATTCTAATGCTAACAGCACACTAACCTTTTTCAAGGTGCTATGTCTGTGAACTCCTTTTGCTGAATAAGGGATGAGAATAAAAAAATGGTTCATTTGTTCTGCTTTGATTTGTAAAATCAGGTTTCACTACAGACTGTCTGTCTTCTCATGTTTTGGGATTTAAGTATGCCACTGCATCAGCATCTATTGGAAAAAACCTACCATGTCTGCTCACAGTCAGTGCCTACTGGCTGTCCAAGTCCAGCAGAGCAGCCTGTTTACCTAAGGTAGCACCCAGCATTCAGGGTGACCAGGAAGCAGTCTGCCCTCCTGATTTGAGTAACTTCTGTGGGCTGGCAGTTAACGTAGGGCAATATTCATTCAGAAGGAACTTGGCATTGGCTGAGTTGATCTGGTCAAAGCTGGTGATCCTCCCTGGGCCAGTTTGGCCCACAGGCAGCTCTCTACTCACGTTTCCTATTTACAACTAAATCTGTGTCTTGAACAGGGCCTGCTAAGTCCAGAAGGATCCTCAAGCTGCCTTATATGCCTTGCCTTAACCTCAAAAGCACAGAGATTTCAACACCTCTTCAATAGGTAAGATTTGCTTACAAATGAAAAGTTGGTGGTCTGATCTCATTAAAAGACCTGTATCAGACCTTAAACGGGGCTGGCAGAGAAGCTTTGAGCCTTACAGTCCTTTCAGCTACCATCAAAAGCTGCTGTCAGTTCATTAGGTACTTCCTTGGTTAAGGTACTACATCATTCTTTTGCAGAGGGATAGATTTTAATAACAACTTCCTAGTGTTCTACAAGCCATAAGACAGGCAGCTGCAAAAAGCAAAATATTTATTTAAATGCATATTTAATTTGTAATATGCAAATGGCATTGCAGTCTGTCATCCCGCTGCGTTCTGGACTCAGTAGAAAGTGGTTGGAGACAAGGAAAGCAATGCCATTGAAGATGATCTCTTTTTCTGTATGCATGGATTCCAGATTATCTGTACATCACATGCTTTCAGGGCAATTAGCTCTGTTTTCCTGGCACAAATCCCATATGCCATACAGAATACTCTACTAGAATGACTCTATAGATAGAATTGGCCTTGTGCCAAGAATAGCTGGAACTTTTTATTAAGATGTTACCTTCTCCCAGGAATTCAAACTTGAGAACAATTTTAGTGTCAAGAATTTATCCCAGCTTTATTATCATATAATACCTCAGGAACACTAATTACTTGTTAATAGAGTATCTGACTTAAGTCTTGAGTAACATAACTGCAAGCAACGCATCGTCGAGTAATGTGTGATTCTGTGAGATGAATGCTGCAGAAATAGCTGGAATGGTTTAAAATGCAGTTGCTTCTTCAGCTGGAAGTCACTGCCCTCATTTGAAGCCAATGAAATGGGTGATATGTGCTGGTTTTATCTGCTTCAGCACAAAACCAGCTGCTGTAATTCCAGTTTTGCAACGAGAAACCTTGAAAAGTGCTTGTGCAATCCATCCTGTGACCGTGGCAGAGAGGCGATAACGGCTGCCTGGCAGAGACATGGTGTGACTCCCCCGGGCTCTTACCTCCACGGTCATTTTGGCCATGAATGTTTAGATGTGCTCAGCCACTGCCGCGATGAACTTGGATTTCAGGTGTGGCCCAAAGTTTAACTTCAGTATCATAATCTTGCATAATAAGAATTTTTTTTAAAAGTTATTAATCCAATAAACACATTTGGTGCTGATTCAGGGAAGAATTGTGTTTATACAGTGTGAAATATGTTCTGAATTATAAACCACTATGGAAGTCAGGGTGGCAGAGGGCTCATTCACTGAAGAAATTGGACGAATTTGGTTAAATCATTTTCCACTGAGGTTTATACGGTTTCTGTGTGTGAGCTCTATAACATAGGTGACTCGATTTCTTCCTCTCTGATGGTCACAGACCCTGCAAGCCAAAAGGGTAAGGGAGGAGGTGGACTTAAATTGTTCTGTGTGAGACTTCTTTGCTGTGAGCATGGCTTTATTGTTCTTGCAGAAGTAAGAACGTGCTAAGGCATTTAATGCTGTTGGGAATAAGATGTAACCAAGAAGAACCAAACTGCCTTTGGGGAAGATAGATTATCTTGATGTATTTCCAGCCACATCAGCAGTTATTTTTGCATTACTTAGCAACTATTTGCTAAAAAATGGATGTAGAAACTTCTGTTTAAGTTTTTACTCTTAGACAGCAATTCTAAGGATAAAAGTGATTATAAAATCACATAAGATTTTACTGTTTGCCTACTTCATGGTGAACTTCAAGCAAATTTCAGAGGCTTGTATGTAGAAATACTTTTTTTTTTTTTTTTTTGTCCCTTGGTGTCAGTCCAGGGTCTAAGTTGACCTGTGTCCTTCTTCTCTGAATACAGTTAGGTTTAATTGAGCTCAGGAGGCAAACCACAATTAGCGTTGAGGAACAAGTTCTGCACAATGACAGTCTTTGTAGCTCTTAGATTTTAAATTTCATGTAGCTCAATATATGTGTACTTTGTGGGAGGTTTCAAAGGATCTAAGTAAATCAGTTCTATCAGATAAGACATCATTTGCCGACAAATGACAAAGGCCTCTTTGCTTATCATGAAACAACTTACAGACCCTGCAGGTAGTTTCGGTATACAGCTGATGCAGCTGAACTGGAATCTGAGTAACTCATTGCATCAGACACCTTATCCTGCTTTTTAAAAATTTGTTCCCAAGTTATAAGGGAACTAAAATTGCACATTCTTTCCTTCTGGCAGTTATTTTATGATGCGATATTGCAAATGTTTCCTTCAGCTCCTTTCTCTGTGCACCTCACATCTGTGATTGACTTGAATAGTGTGGCACTCTGAGAGTGTGAAATTGGGTAAAACTCAGTGGGCACTGATCTCTAAATGTTAATTTTTCTTGTGGATATGATCAGCATGGTAAGGTCCTTTCCAGTGTTCTCCAAAACAATCCAAAGATTTCTGTAATTCAGCAAACAACCACAGCATGTTTTTGTGGACTGTAGTGAAATCTGCCCAGATGAATTCACAGGGAGGCTTTTGTATTTTTGTAATGAGTCGTTTCCCAAAATCGTAGATGTTCAGCAAACAACCACAGCATGTTTTTGTGGACTGTAGTGAAATCTGCCCAGATGAATTCACAGGGAGGCTTTTGTATTTTGGTAATGAGTCGTTTCCCAAAATCGTAGATATGGTCCATTTAAGGTAAGTCCATTTAGCTATAGTTTGATTAGAAGGGGAGAGTGATGTTTTTGAGAGCTGTGGAGTTATTCTGCATGTTCTGAATCTTAAAAGCAAGAGCTTTTGAACTGTCCTTTCTTCCGTGACAGGGTGTAATGCCTCTAAGGCACGATCCGTGCTGTCTTCGGTGCTGCTAGTAAAAGTGTTTCTCATTTTGTTGATCTTTAAAGTACAGACAAGACATTCCCACTCTGATTTGAACTCTTAGGTGAATTATGATTACAGCATGGTACCAAGATTCTGTGCCTTTATAATATGGGTCCCATATAGACTACTTACAAGTATTAGGCCGCTCCTGACCATTACTGGCATGAGCACTAAGCAGTACTAATGCAGGGGGGGAAAAAAGAGCCTATCTTGAAATATCTTGACACTCTCAGCTTGGCATCTGTATCAATGTATTTATCAAGAGGGAGCCAATGCAAAGGAATATCTGCTAATTTAGATTGTACATTTCTCAGGGAACAGATAAATTTTTTTCTGTGTGGTTTCTCTCTGGGGCCTGGTTTTGCTGTAATATAAATGACTTTTCTGGCCAAGGGCAATTTTTTACTTTAAATTGGGTATGTTGAGACCATAAAACTGTGAACCCAAGTGTAGAGGTATGAGACAACTTTAAAATTAACCTTTGTGTCACCTTTAATATTTAGAAATCTTGCCTGAAGAAATCAAGGAACAGAAAGCATAGATATCTTATCACGACCTCACCGGTAGAGCAGACAGGGAAGATGTTGGTAACATGACTTCATTTTTGAAACTTTGAGAACTTTTCTACCTCTAATCAGGTTGAAAGGTCAGAACTATGGAGGTAGTTACAACACTGAAAATAGTAGGCTTGTGTTAACACGGGTTTTTATTGTTAGTAAAAGGAATTTTGAGTCAGGAAACACAATCACATGCTGAAATAACTTTAATATTCAAAGCATGAATTGAGAAACACGAACTGGATTTTTTGACAAATCCTAAGGAAAATAAATATATTAAATAACTCCAAACCAGTTATTCTGACATGTACATCCCTCCACAGGAATAAGCATTCGGGTCCTTGGGACTACAGTCCTTTCTCAACAAGTGACAAATTAAAATACTCAGCTTCCTTCTGTCATCAAGATGTGCCTAATTGAGTTGGCAGTGAAGCCAACCGTGAGCATCACCTTGGAAGTGTTTTTGAAGACTCAGAATTTGTTGAATGTGCCTTAGTGGTGTCTGTTGTTTGCTGTTCCCTACACAGGTTGTTTCCTTAAAGAGCTTCAAATGACCGTGTCCTTACTGGTGTTCTCCAAGCTGCATTTTAATTCTCTTTGTATTTGTCAGCACCTTTCAAGTAGTACTGTTGCTTGGTACTAGATGATGTTCTGTTTATAAGCTTATAATGTATGTGTACTTAAT